ACTCGTCCCACTCACCAAATCGTTTGTGGACGAAACGCCCGAAGAGGAAATTGTCGTTGTGGTATGTTGACTGACTTCCGTTTTTTTTTGATCTAATAGCAATCTCTTAGATAAAAAAAGGCGTTTTGGAAATGAAATTCGTTGGAGTAACAGTATGGAATATAGAATAGAAGGATTGGTCTTAAATGTCATGTGCCGGAGGACATTTTATGATATGGTTATTCAGTGTTTCATCCCTTAGCTGTAAACACAGACCGAGCAATACGTGCGAGTAGGAGCGGGAATCATCAGTACAACCTTCTACCCGCCACGTTCTGAACAGTCATGTGACTAATTTGCAAGACGAATATGCGAAAGAAAGAGAAATCAGAGAGCGAGAGAGAGCGCAAGCAAACAGAGTGAGAGAGGAAAGAAAGACAGCTCACGACGAACAATCATTATATGCCAGTTATGAGGAAAATGTGAGAAATTTTAACAGAACTTATTAAAATTTAACGAAACATTTTCAGCGTCGTGAGCCACGTACGAAGCGCCTCGACATTGAAATCAATTTTACGGACGAGCAACGCGGCAGTCGTGGTGGACGTATGCGTGATGGTTTTAGAGGCGGACGAGGATTTCGCGGTGGCCGTGAGGGACGTGGCGGCGGCGGCAGCGGCGCGAGACAAACTCAAACATTTGAGGTGTCCCCGGATGCTTTCCCGGCACTTGGAAGCCACTGACTCCTACCAAAAACAATAAAAACATTTGCTGAGAATTGTTAACTGTCTTTTTTTTGCAGCATTATCACTGATTAAAATGTGAGAAGTAAAAAAAAAACCTCTGAAATTTGCCTGGGCTTTGCTATTAAAATGCATGCAAGTGAATCTTTTTTCTTCCTTTTTTTTGAAGTCTTGTACTGCATTCTTGCCCAGGAGAAACTTCTTCTTCTTCGGGTCGCCATGTCTTTTTGAGGGTATTAGCCAAACAAAAAAAAAAAAAAAAGCTCACTCAGAATATGTGTTTAAATGCTTTTTGGGTTCATCGTCAACTTTTCTGTTGCTCTATTTTTTCTTATTTCAAAAAAAAAATGTTAATTTTTTATTTCAAAGAAAAATGTTAATTTTTTTTCCTTCGGCGTCTTGCACCGAGTTTTCTCATTTTTTTTTTTTTTTTGTTATTTGAAATATTGGGTGTACTGCAGTGTGCGTGTGTGTGTGGTCGTTTGAATGACGACAGCAGTTTCTTCTTTTTTTTTTACTTTTAAGTTTATGGCCTGAGAACGCGCAGTTAGCCTCTAGTCTGACGAATTTAGCGCTTCTTTTTCCGGGTTTAGCAGA